GTGTCCGCACACATACTCTCCCCGCTATCCAAAGGCCTATTCAAGAGGGCTATTATGGAAAGTGGGGCCCAAATGTATAACAAGGACAGGGGTGTTGTCAATACAACTGAGGCTTTATCTCAGGCCAAAGCCATTGCCATAGGATTGAAATGCAATGAATCGGAGGATTGGGTGCATTGTCTGCGAAGAGCGGATCCCAAAGATATACTGAAATACGTGAACCCAATCGCCACTTACCCGGTGTTTGGCACAGAGTTTTTGCCCATTTCTGCCCGACAGGCATTCAATGAGAAAAAGTTTAATCAAGGTATTATTATTTTTGGATATTTATTTGCAAATATATTACTATTAAATTAAATCTATTTTTACACAATAAAAATTTACTACAATATAAAAAGACTATAAAGTATAGTAAAAACAAGGTAAAACACAATTAACACAATTTTAGGTAACACTTAATTTTTTGTATGTATTTATTTACAAATATTTATAATCATGCAATTTAAATAATTTTCACAAAATTAAATAGACATTGATTTAATTGCTGGCATTGTACACGACGAGGGCCCGGGATTTGTTGAGATTGCCATCAAAGACCCTGCTCATATGACATTGACCGACTTTTACCATGGACTAAACGTACTAGACTCACTCGGCTATCACAACGTGAACGCGCAGAAAGTACCGCAATATTATCTGAAAGGTGTCAACACTACCCAATCGGGTGCACTGCGAAAGGCATTTGGCTCACTAATAGGTGACCTAATACTCGGTTGTCCGACATATCTGTTCGCCAAACGGTTCGCACAGACAGTCAAAGAGTCCCAAAGGGTTTACTTTTACGAGTTGTTATACGCCAGCGAGCGGTTTGCCAAACAGACCACGTGCGATTTAACTACCCAGGGCGTTTGCCACGGTATGGATATACCATTTGTGTTTGGCTTACCTCTACTCAATCCCAGTGATTATAGCAACGAAGATATCTATTACGCTAATTATGTGGTGAAAATATGGTCTAAGTTTGCCACCGATGGGTAAATTAACATGTTTACTATTTTATTAATTTACACAGTTGTAAATATAAATAATTAACATTTACTTTTTTATAAGTCTAACTTAATTCAAATACAATTATTAATTAAATAATGATGATAATTTTAGTCATATGAACTCTGAATGGCCGCAACTGTTAAACAATGACTCTATGAGTGGACCCAATGTGAAAGGATTGGACCCCAAAAATATACCACTAGTACTCGACGACCCGTTTCACGACACTTGTGATGGTGTTTGGGCTGATTATTACCTTTAAACAATTTTTATTGTCTTGTGATGTAATAATTTAATTATTATATTTATATTATTATAACTTGATTACTTGTGTTAAATAATTGCCAGTATTT